TTCCCTGCTTCCCTTCACTGGTTCCTGTACAGCAGGGTCGGTCTTTGTTTCACTGTTATAATCATTACAAAGCAAAAGCAGCATGTGTATACATTCAGTAGGCTATATCTTCAGTAGCTAGCTAGCTAACCCTACACTTTTCAGGGTTTGATTTTGGTTTTGGAACAGGGAAGAAACGTATATCATTTTCCAACCTCTCCAGGTAACGAGTATCATTAATACACGACATGCCCCAGGCACAACATTTAGCTCCAAATCCACAAAACCAGCCTGAAAATGAAGGAAATCTGAAATAACTGCATCAGTCAATGGAGCACAGCTGTGTTGATGTCGGACCCTGGTCTGAGCCGGCCCGATACTATGTTATGATTGGCCACTCTGCATCCTGGGGTGGGACTTAGTGAAGGGTCAATTCCAGTATTTTGACAACACTCATTTGCACATTTTATTTGAAACTAGAAGAACAAGTGCTTTAAAGAAGAGAGAAGGAAGCATAAAATGTCTCAAGACGTTTGATCTTCATGCCAAAATCCAACGAGACAGAGTGAGGCGTTATTGATAGTGTTCCAAATCAGTCTATTCTGCTGTAATTATTTGTTGACAATATGACTTTTTACACTGAATACAGGCCACTAGATGACTGCCTCAAAAGGTTGACGAATTACACATCAGCCCTACTTTACACCACTTTAAACAGGAAAACCAGTTTCTTCCATCTTATCACAGTTACACGTCTCAGACAGTAGAGCAGCGCCTCATTAAATCGCCTTTTCGGACAGTCTAGTTGTGAATGATACTGAAGACTACAATCCTGGCCCTGGGGCACACAGATCCACAGCTTTTCAAACCACTGTTTGATCTACGCCTGCTTGGGATTATCACAATCCAAGGATTTCACCCTTCAGGCCAGTGGGCCACAGTGGGGAGGAGAAATCTGAGGGAAAAATACAGCGAGCAAAGCTGGGTGGGTCCGTAAAGCACAAAGGGATCAAAGCCTTTGTGCTTTTCAAAAGAACTTCTTAAAAGAGCACCTAAAACAACAGTAACCCTAAGAACAAGGCACACTTCAATAATGGAGCTAAAAATGTATGCTGCCCTGGTTGCATGCTAATAAAACATATCTGAAACGCCCCTGAAACAATGGGAGGGGATGGAAGAGTGAACACGGCCAAACTATGACTGACGGATAACATCTAATCCAATTACAACAGGTGGGAGCCCAACGTGGCACTGTGTGGTCAGACGGCCCTCATTCGTCTGAAGACGGCTGTCCTGAAATAACCTCTGCACACCGCCTGACCTGACGCTGCAAACACCTGACCAACACATTCCTGATAGTACTTCTAAAAGCAGGTGCAAGCAATTTCTGCAGCCTTGCATCTTGACACGCAGGTGGTAGAAGTGAGAACAGGTGCACCATTAATATTATCACCACCACAGACTGAGGCAATCACTCCGAAATAAAATCTATGCACTATCATGCAATCAAATGCATCTTTTCACAAACGGCACGTCACAGGAGAGCAACACGAAATAGTTTGATGGTTATTTCTGTGTTTGGATAATCTGTGGCACCGAGACAAAGATTTGGAAACGTCCCAAAAAGCAGAAACTAAATCTGTCCATCTCTGTGTGTGCCAGTTGACGTCAGTGCATGATGAAACCGCTGGAGAAGTCTGGGATAAAGTCATTCAGCAGACAACAGGAAACAATAACCTTTCAAGTTTCCCTTGCTAGTCGAATTACGCGACTGATATGGCATCTTCAAAGTGAAATTGATGCAGAAAGCTTCCGCTCACCGAGTTCAGGAAGCGGTGAGCTGCCCAGGGACCATTACAGCGCACTCAAACAGGAAGGCAGCCAGATTGTGGGGAGCTAAAATGACATCTGCTAGCGCAATCAAATAAAGGAGCCATTTCACAAAATGTGTTTAGCATACATGTTCAAAAGGAGTTCACACAGTGGAGCTGCTTCATGTTAAAAGAGCAGCAGCCCTACCTTAAAATCTAAAGCTGGTGTTGTCAGTGTTTTTTGGGTGACTCAGCAGTTGTGGAGTGTGTGCTGTGGTGGAAGTAGTAACACTACACTGTAAAAATACTCTGATAAAAGTAAAAGTCCTGCATTCAAAATTTTACTCAAATAAAATATGAAAATATCATCAGCAACATGCACGAAGATATAAAGAGTACAAGGTACTCATAAGGTGCAGAACAGCCTCTTTTAGAGTGATATTACAAATATATATAACTGGATTATAGGTGTAGATTTCAGGGAGGGATGTAAGGGACACATCCCCCTCAATATTTAGAACAAGTGTGTTTGTCCCCCTCAAAACTGAAAGAAGCAGAGGAATTTTATTTTGACAAAATTAAAGACATTTGCACCATAAATTATTGCAGAAAATAGACAAGTTGGTGCATGAAAAATCACCAGAATGAAGGAAATTAAGTGTTTTATGCTCAAAATGTTCTGGTAAAGGACCCCCAAACACCCCAAATATTCCAAAGTATTGATATCATTCAGCTTTTCAGTAACAGTCATACTAATTACGCCCCTTCACACCTTTCCATCTATTCCTATAATTCACCATCTTGCACATTTTCGCCAGCATTGCAGTGTTGCGTCAGGTTTTCAAAAACCTTGAAATATTCCACAGTATTTGTATCAGTGGACGAGTCAGTGACATTCATACACATTTAGGCCAGCATTGCAGTGTAGTGTCAGCTTTAAAACATTCCTATAGATATTCCACATCATTCATGGTATTATTCAAAGTTTAAAGTCAGCATTGCAGTGTAGCGTCAGCTATTCAGCATGCAGCATTAACACCCACAATTTCTTCAGAAATTGCATTTTTTACCCAGCAAGCAATAGTCGTGATTTAAACGTATAGGCTATATTTAGCTCCGATTTAGTCTAGCTACATGTAACCCAAATCTAGCCGATTTAACTTTGAAATTGATTAAATGGAATTTTCGCCACTGCAGATGGCGTGCGGTATGATATTCAATCACGTATGGAGAGTCAACAGTAATTAAAATATGTTTATCTCCATTTTTTGGACATGGTCTCTACATAGCCGTATAATTGATGACGTCTACACTTTGGCTATGGTTAGACGTCTACCAAATTTTCACGGACAGCCCAAATGATTTAGCCTAGACGTCAGGTCTTCATGTAGAAGGCTATTAGATGTTTTTTTAAACCAAAAAATGCTTGCAGGGATAGTTTATTAGAGTCCTGTAGCACTGTGGAACTCACAATAACCAGTTTTTAAAATATTCTCAAAATGAATGCAGAGGTACAGAACCTGAGACCGGTCATACATCCAATTATTTCTTTTTTTTTTTTTAAATGCTGTTATTGAGATCACAAGTTCAGTCTTTCATTATCTCAAGATAACAAGATTATCAACCCATTATCTCTAAACAACAAAAGGTCATTTTTGCTTTTTTAATGTTTATCAGAGATCAGTAGTGCCATGCCAGCATGCATAGATAGTGTCTTGATGAAAACGCCAGTTTATGGAGTAGTCACTGTACTTCAGTCAAGGCCTGACACATGCAGAAATTGCTTTTGAGTCTTTGTGATAGCATTTAGATCAGTCATTTAAGGAGAACCACCAGATGTGATCAAATGAACCTGACACTCATTTTTTTAAGTTTGCCATAATTATCCTGTGATCTCAAGGAAACGAAAGTCTCCTCTTTGTGCTAAATAATCTTGTTATCTCAAGAATTCAGCTTTTCGTTTTCTCGGGAATTGACATTAATTATCCCGTTATCACGAGAAAATAGGGTATCCCCACTAAATACCTTAAGGTACTGACCTAAATGACCCAGTACCAAGAAGTATTGAAACATCCCCAGTCAAACAATACCTGAATTTGATCATTTTTTGCTTCAGAGCTCTGATCCGTGACTTCCCACCAGACTAGCAAACTTTCTGTTGCTGCTGTCTCCTCCTAGTCGGCTCGTGCTAACATCTGCCTGGTTAGCCCAAGCTAACACAGCAACAGTGGCTACATCCAACACCGAGCCGTCAAAGAGTCCCAGCAACACAATGACTAAGAAACAGCTTTTAAAAAAAAAAATTAGTTCCTTCCTCACGTCCATATGTCCAGTCTTTAATTTGGCATGGATAGTGCTAATGCTGGTGTGCAGGGTGTCCATTGCCACGTGGTTATTAGCTTCACCTAAAGTGACAACTTCATCAGCTGTTCCTGTCGCCATTTCCTCGATGTTTTTACTGCTTTGGTTTACTGTGGTCTTAGTCTTCCTTAGTTTATATTTCCCCACAAGGTTTATCATGAAGTAGACGTGAAGAATCCTCTAAAAGCTCGCGAATTATGTTGCTGCTCGTCTCACCGCCATACTAGAAAGTCCACAAAGAAACAGCTCAAATTTGTTGTTAAATTCAATAATAACCTTTAGGGCACGTTAGCTGTGTGATGCTAACAGTTAGCCTTGTCACTGTGGCCAGTGTGTGACCAGGCACACTCCAGCAGCAGCAGCTATAACCCATACAGTCTAGTGTGGTGAAGTCAAGGGCGGACAATTTGACAGAGTTGGCAGTTTAACATGCCAAGAGCCATCTACTACACGTCACTCACATTACTGATATCAAATGAAGTACTCTGTTGGTATTGGTATCACTTTAAGGGTACTGGTATCATAATTTTTTAGATGATACCCAGCCCTACGAGAAAGTAAGCTCTGTTATCTCAAGATCTCGCAATCAAGAGATGACAGTGTTAAAAAGATATTTGCAAACATGGTTGTTCTCGGCTTTCATACAGCAAAACCAGAGATATCTTTTTTTATTCCATTCATTCTTCTACAATGTCAAAACATAGAGCCTACATTTCCCACAATGGCCTCATAGTGTGTATCCTCTCAAAAACAATCTCAGGGATCCATATTAGATTGTTTTTCAAATGTAAATAGCAAAAAATGGAAAGACTCATGCACAAGTACTAGAAAATAGGACTTAAGTAAATGTACTAAGTCACTTTCCACTGCTGAGAGTGTGCTGTTGTAACTGTGCTGAAGCAGGAGTCTGATGAAACAATACTCTTCGCTCGACACAGATTAAATTAAAGCACACAGTAAAGTCTGTATCCTCAAACCTTATTGGCAGCAGGGGCTGTGTAATTACAATGAGACAGATTCTCTCACACTGATCCCAGAACAGCTGAGCTCCCAGCCAGGAAGGAAGATGGAGATATTGATATCAGATATACAGTGTGTTACATTGTGCACCGTAAGCAAATGGACCGGAGCCCTGACAATAGGATAACTTATCATCAGGATTGGTTAATGGTTTGAATCCCCACGAATAAGTCTTTTTATGCCATGGATTTAAACAGCACCCTCAAACCAACACTAAGAGCTAAAACACAGCTGTGCAAACGGGAACGGTGGAAGTCAGTTAAGATGTGAGCTTCAGCTAAGCAAATAAATAATATAATACCAGGGAGAAATTACAGGATGTAAAGACATTATTTTCAATGTTTGTACATCTGATTCAATTTGAAGTAACTGATGGTTTGGATTTGGGGCTCTTGGATGAAGGGGCCCACGTTACCTTGGGTTTGAGCAGGTCTAGCCGGCTCTGGACCCGGTTCTTTAGAGGTTCTGGAGAACATCCAGTAGACACTTCAGGGGATCTGAGGGGCGAGCCACAACGAGAGGCAAAGACAAGAGGTTTATAAATTAGAAAAGCAAGAAGGTTACATGGTCACACTAACCGAGAAATCTACCCACTACTGTTCTCTCTTTATTGCAGCTTTGCATAATATTTTCAACATGTACAAAGATGTTTTCACTAGCGTCAGACGGAGCTGACGTTGGGCTTTTGCAACAATTTGGATATCAGCCATTTAATGTCATGCAGCTCCGACATAATGTAGGTTCCCCTTCCAAACCGCAGCCAGTGCCTATTTCTTTTTTTATGTTATTATTTTTATTTCAGATGTTTGACCAGAGAAATTGTTCCAGTGTGGTGTGGGAGGATTTTCCTCCATATGGTTTCAGTGGAGAGTTGTACAGTCTCATGTTGGTCTAATTGCCATTTCAGGGGCTTTCCCACTCTGACTGAATCCCGTGGTAGTGAAAATAGTCTAATCTAATTCAAAGCTCTGTGACTTTTCCATAGTAAAATATCTTTTAATTTGCCAGTGTTGTACTTGACCCCTGAAGGGTGTAACAAAGCAGCTGGATGTAAAGGGGTAGTTTGGATCTTTAGAAGTGGGGATGAATGCAGTACTTATCCATAGTCAGTGTATTGCATACGGTAGATGTCAGTCAGCACGCCATCAGTTAAAGTAGACTCTATATTCAAAATATTTTCACTGCTTTACTTTGCTGCCAGACTACAGCTGCAATGATTAATTGATTAGTTGTCAACTATTTAAGTATTTGTCCACTGATATAACACTGATCAATCAGTCTGAGTATTTTTTTAAGACAAAAAGATTACAATTCTCTCAATCCAGCTTTTTAAATGTGAATATTTTCTGGTCTCTTCACTTGTCTTTGACAGTAAATTGAATATCTTTGGGTTGTGGACGAAACAAGACATTTGAGGACGTCATCTTGGGCTTTATGAAACACTGATCGACATTTTTGATCATTTTCTGACATTTTATAGACCAAACAACTTATTGATTAATTGAGGAAATAAATCAAAAGATTAATCAACCACAAAAATAAAAGTTAATTGCAACCCTATGTCAGACAGCAATTTCTGACAGGGAACAAAGCCAGACTCCATTGAGAAAAACAGTAATTTAACATTGCTGAACACAGGAGTTGCTGCTCTAACGCTTCCTTGATCAGTTGGTTTGTTTGTGTTATTTTGTGACCTTTGGTGTTTAAAACACGCCAAAGGTCACAGAATAACACAAACTGACTACCTGATTGAGCCTGGTGGCTCTGAAGAGAGCACTATAACAGCTTCAGTTCCCCATCATTAATTGCTGTCTGACAGCAAGGTAAAGCAGTGAAAATATTCTCAGTAAAGCGTACACTTAAACTGATTTTTTAGGTGGCTAAATATGTTTTGTTACTGCCCCCATCCACAGCTGTACATTGCTTAGCTTCTGTGGTATTACTCCTGCCTGCTTCTCCAAACTGGGGGCGTGATGCCGCCATCTGCTGTTGGTAATAGGGCCCTGACACACCACTGCTGAGCACCCTGGTGGCAGTGTCCCCCCCACCTTTGACACTAGTCAGCCCATGTTGGCTGTTTTTGACTGATTCAGCATGTTGAATGTGCACAAGAAGAGAAACAGAAGTGAGGAATGTAAACAAAAGGCTTAAGTCAAAAGAGTGTGAGATCAAAACAAACGGTGCACGGTAAAGAGCCTTTGTTCTTTCAGCGTTAGGTTTTTTGTCAACGTGCTAACTAGCGATTTGAATTGACAAATACAGACTAATGGTATCTGCCAATGTGGAGAGTTATCTCCTCTCACGCAGGCACAGAATGTACGTGCTAGTTGGCCGTTGACTAGGGTTTGCGTCGTGTTCAAGTGCAACTTCTTGGCTGAGACGCAGGCGACATAAAGCGATGAAACAGTCAGCCTTTGTTGCCACTAGCTCTTTGTCGGTTTGGTGCGTCAGGGCCTTTACTCCGACTATGGAAACCTCAAACAACCCCACTTCAAAAAAATCTGAACTATCCTTTAAGACCCATCTGTATCTATGGTTACAGTCTGTGGTATAAAATAAAATAGAACTACAGCCCTTAAAACATATGCTCCCCATCCTAAATCCCAGTTTGTACTGTGTGATTGTTCGTGCCAACCTGAACAAGTCGAGGACGCAGGTTCCCTCTGCTCCACTGAGGACGGGCTGGTCCTCAGACAGCAGGTCTGCCTTGTTCTGACACAGAGGAGTCAGCGCCTCTTCATCCAGCAGAGCCATCAGTACCTTCACAGTGTCCCGACCTCCGTACGCAGTGCAGTGATTGACTGCATAAGGCTTTGGCTGGAGAGGAAGAACAACACAGCTACAATCAGCTCACATAGCTGACTGTTAGAGGAGATGAAGTGGGTTTTTGTTTGAATGTATGGAGAGACACAAAAGCCAGAATTGTAGTTGCTTGGCTGGAGAGCAGAGGTTATACATTACCCTGGCAGGGCTTATCCCTGTCCCGCTTCCATTAGCAATCTGTTTCTGGATCTGGTGTAGCTGGCAGATCCTCTCCTTCAGCTCCTTTGTCGTCTCCTCAGCTGCGGCGTACACTGCCTCTCCGCTGCTGCGTCCCTTCACCAGCGCTGCCCTGACGGCGGTCACCAGCCTGGCTCCACATACACTGAGGAATAAACCCAGTGACAGTCACAATGACATCTGCAGGAGAGCGCTATTGTGCCATAGGTGGAGGAAAAAACTGTTTGTTTTGGAAAGCAGTGGAGTCTTTCTTCTGCAGAGCACACATACAAGTTTTCATCTGGATGGAATTAATAGTGTTCAAGAGTTCAGCCAATATTTGCCAACATGAATAACTCTCTCCTAAAACTGAAAACCCAGAAAAGCCAGGCCTTAGTCTGAATGTCTTCAAAAGATATACTGCAGCTTCACTTTCAATTAATTGGACACTGACTTTAAGGGCTCAGAGTAATTGTTTCGGTGTTAACATCCAGTTGAGCTTTATTTCACTGTAGCGCAGCTTTGCCAATGTTAACAGTTATGAAGCAGAAAATGTGCTCCAAATCCCTGTTAAAGTCACCCTGGGCACGGTCACTGCGCTCACCCATGGACTGTCAGCAGACAAACTCCAGGATTTTCCTCTTTATAGTTCTGGGGGATTTTCGCCCGTGCTCGCTTGCTCTGCATGTCCAAAAATCATAGCAACATATCACTTCTGTAGGTTTCAAACAGTCAAGTGCACTAAAGCATGCTCGGAGAGATCGCAGTAAGGTGGAGAGGCGGTGGTCCGACCCTGACCCGGCTCTGATGTGAGCGAGCAGGGCTCAGTAACAGAATCATTTGGGAAAACAGATGTTCAGTGAACAAGGGGCCCTGAACTCTCCATAGAAGGTGTTTGTATGAGGAAATACAGTACTCCGCTGAGAGTGTAAAGGCACTGCCTGTTGAAAGACACATGTTGGCTGAGTTCATCAGTGTCTCATCAGACGTGGAGCGCTCTCATCAGCCTGCATGAACTGAAAACCCTCAGTAGAGCAGCGGGTGTCGAATCCACTACTACACAAACATCGCAATGTGTTGTTATGGCTCGGTTGAGTGAAGCTAACGTGGCTACTGGGACTGCTACAAAGGGTGCCTTCAACGGCTTCAACTCAAAAGCTCAACCCTCACATGATTGAACGGCTAAATCATTTCTGATAACCGCTTCTGTTGTGGTGCCAGATGCTTTGACATCCAAAATAATCTGTAATGGTATGGAGAATGATCTGTGGGCTCGAGGTTTGATGATAATTCATCAAAGAAAGCGCTCCAAACAGGGAACAAGTTATTTAACAAAGACAGGCTTTGATGTGGCAAAGATGAACATGCTTTAGCAATCCAAATGTTATCATGAGAAGCTTAGATGGGAGTCATTACAGGGATTTGAAGGAAATAATAACGAGCCGCAGTGGAACAGGTGGAATTTATGATCACAGGTGTGATTTCAGTGCACAGGTCTGCCAGGCTGCAAGTATTCCTACCAGTAGTAGCAGCAGCGGGACCGACCCACACACAGAGCTGATATTCTAATAAATTCATGAGAACTGAATCGGCCACACCACAGAGAGAGGAAACAGAATTTAATCTCAACTTGAATTGCAGGAAGAAGTGAAGCAATTCAGAGAAGCTTCCACTCAGTCATAAATCACGAATTTCAGTGTATTTGACGTCATTCGCTGCAAGATACCGAAGAATGCTCAACTTTTCTTGGAATCTGTTATTCCTCTAATCAGCTCAGGATGATTTCTCTGGAAATGGAATATGTGTATATGAGTATTAGACTACAATAAAGTAAACACAGCATTTTGTAATGATGCATTATTTGACATGAAATGTTGTACCGGAATGTTAAGGATTAGCTACTACAAATAAGTGATTCATCATTGGTTGAAGAATGTGGCAACTCAGGAAAATACACCGCTGTAAGGGACTGTTCATAATTTATGAGAGGGGAGGGTGTGGTGAAAAAGGGGGAGGCTTGTGGGGGGTCATACAACTTAAATGTTATTCTGTATTTTGTAATGCAGGAGTTATACTTCTGCATCGAATTAACGCTGTGCTTACAGCATAGGCTCTGCATTAACGTAGCCTGATGTGCTCCTCACCAGAAATGTAACTACACGTTGCGGCGACGCAGACCTCCTGTCTATTTCTGTAAGCTGAAACCATTTCCCTCAGGGGAAATAAAGCTTTTATTTACTTTCATTTCACAGATAAGAAACAATAAATTGTGAAGACAATAAAAATAGCATTTTGAGTCTTGTGTGTGATTTATCCTGGCTTCATATGAGTAGAGGAATAGTCAGCTAGCTGCTAGGCTAATTAATACAATGTAAAATACCATAGACTTGTGCTAATAATGTTAGCATGTTATATTTGTTTGGAAAACGTGTTTAGTATAAGACAGTTGTTTTGTCAGTGAACCTTGTGAGTTGTAATGGAGCCGAATTTTGTAACATTACCTTTGTTAAATGTTGCTGTTGTCCGTGGCTTCATATGAGTAGAGGAAAAGTCCGCTAGCTGCAAGGCTAATTAATACAATGTAAAATGCCATAGGCTTGTGCTAAAAACATTAGCATGTTGTATTTGTTTGGAAAACATGTTTAGTATAAGACAGTTGTTTTGTCAGTGAACCTTGTGAGTTGTAATGGAGCCGAATTTTGTAACATTACCTTTGTTAAATGTTGCTGTTGTCCCTGGCTTCATATGAGTAGAGGAAAAGTCCGCTAGCTGCAAGGCTAATTAATACAATGTAAAATGCCATAGGCTTGTGCTAAAAACATTAGCATGTTGTATTTGTTTGGAAAACATGTTTAGTATAAGACAGTTGTTTTGTCAGTGAACCTTGTGAGTTGTAATGGAGCCGAATTTTGTAACATTACCTTTGTTAAATGTTGCTGTTGTCCCTGGCTTCATATGAGTAGAGGAAAAGTCCGCTAGCTGCAAGGCTAATTAATACAATGTAAAATGCCATAGGCTTGTGCTAAAAACATTAGCATGTTGTATTTGTTTGGAAAACATGTTTAGTATAAGACAGTTGTTTTGTCAGTGAACCTTGTGAGTTGTAATGGAGCCGAATTTTGTAACATTACCTTTGTTAAATGTTGCTGTTGTCC